ATGTAAAGTAAGTATGCATGGGCTTTATGTACATGTACATGTACTGTTCAGTACATATTGGGGCAATACTTGTACATGTATGTTTTTATGTCGGTGTGTTCGTATTTGTGTTTTAGTTATAATTTAAGTATATTGTATATTGGGAGGTAATCTCTTTTCCTTTGGTAATTTATGTGGTAGCATAACTATTATATTTTTTAAAGTTGCACATATATAAGGCGAAGTAAAAAACTAATATGTTTCTCGTCCCTGCCCGCTCCCTTTTTGGAGGCCGCCTGGATTTTTTTATTATTTTTATATTTTGAAAAATGCAGTAAAAAAACAACGAAAAAAACCTAACTATTTTTCAACTACTGCTCAAAATTTACAACTTTTTTCAGTCCAAATTTTGTTTGTTATTGGTTACATGTTCATGAACGGTTGCAGGCCAGCTATAGACTGGTTCCCTTACCTAACAATTTTCCGACATCTATATATTGATCCATTTCATCTTTAGTGGAGTCAGGGAACCAGACCACTGAAACATTTTTGTTTTTCTTGTTTTTTCAAGCATTTACGAACACAAAACTTCAAACATGTCAGTTAAACAATATTTGATCTATTATACTAACCCCTCAAATAGTTCATTTCTGAAAATTACAACAAAAGCCAATGATGTACATTCCCTTTAAAGCATATGCAAACTGTTCAATGTAGACCAATGCAACTCTAAATGACACTGTAAACATGTTCAGTTCTCTCGTCCAACTTGTCTTTCATTTTAAAAGTGTCTTTGAACAGTGTAAGCACCAACAGTTGCAGGAAATGTTAAAATGGCGGCCATCTTGAAAAAAATAAATAATAAAAAATAAAAAGCCCCTCTAAGCTTCCTCTTTTTTTCAAAAACCCAGACGAGAAACATGTTTTTTTTTTTTAAATTCGGCCTAATTATACATTCGGCCTAAATAGATCATTTTTGTGTGTGTGGTTTTTAGCATGGTACAACAGTACCACAGAATATCGAAGGTACCACACACATTTATGTGGTACTCTCCTCCAATTCCACTGACCTGTGGTTGTTTGTGTGGTATTTAGTACAGTACAACTAGAAGTACCACAGGATATCGGAGGTACCACACACATTTATGTGGTACTCTCCTCCAATTCCACTGACCTGTGGCAGTTTGTGTGGTATTTAGTACAGTGCAACAGAAGTACCACAGAATATCGAAGATCCCACACACATTTATGTGGTACTCTCCTCCAATTCCACTGACCTGTGGTAGTTTGTGTGGTATTTAGTAAGTACAACAGAAGTACCACAGGATATCGATGATTGGTGGCAAATACCACACACATGCGTATGTGGTACTTTTCTCAAATCCTACTGTACTGTGGTACTTTGTGTGGTACCCACATGTGTACCACAAGAATACCACAGGACCGCGTTGGCATTACCACATACATTTGTGTGGTACTCTGGTCGTATATACTTTTCCTGTGGTAATTTCTGTGGTAAACATATGTACCACAGAAGTACCAAAGGAAAACCAGAGGGCATTTTCGCTGCCCAAGGACACAACATATTGCCAGCAGCTGGATTCGAACCTCTGACCCTCTAATCATGAGTCATAAACCATAACCACTATAGGCCAAACTCCCCACAGACAACCGTTACTAAATACATTTCGAGGGAACTCAGCATGAAGAACAACTTTATTCTGTAGTAAACATTATCAGTAAACTTAAATTGATCCTGACTGAAACATATTGCTTCTTTGTCATGAAAATAGCGCATAAATACCAGATGTTGTGAGCCACATCGATCAAGATATGGTCCATACTGGTAATTACTTTTGACACAACACGTTGGTTTTCATATTAAACACATGGGTAACATGGTCTTCTCTTCCAGATCTTTAGTCACTCCCAACCTCGTCGCCAGGGTGTCGAGCAGTTCGCGCCAACTACTACCTGCTCTCTCACCCTGGTATTAGATCACTTGCATGTGCAATTTTTTTGAACATGTATGCAAATGAGGAATAGTCTGGTGCCTCCGTGTGCGTTACATTAGCGTTTGTGTTTGTATGCGGCGCCTGGGGTAAAAACAGCATCAATTTGTCGAGCGGTGAGTTACGAAAACACGATTGTTTTCCAAGTTAAATGTTACAATCTTATCCCACCAATATGCACTATCACATTTCATATATGAGTAAATTGGAAACGAAAGGAGTGGAGGTAGTAATTACAACTGGTGGAGTTGACTGTTTCGTAATAATTACTGTATACAGTGAAATCTCGATAATTTAAACTCCAATAACTCAAAATAAGTCAAATAAAGAATCAGACGCTCTGCTGCACGCGAGCCTATTTGGACTCGTCATCAGTCTCGCCTAAGTTGTATTTGCGTTTAGCAACGTGCGCGCACTGTAACGTTTCCTGCGGAGATTGTGCGAGGGTCCAGGACATATTGTCTATATAGGGGAAGGGGCTAGCTAGGGTGAAGGGTGCTAGTCAGAACGCCTAATTTCCGTAAAACCCGTCAACCATGTCACCAATATTTCCGGGGATGGGGATAAATATTTCCAGGGACGGGGAGAAATTGTTTTTGTTATAGAGGGGAGATGGTGATATTGAAATGGGTGATATTGAAATCGCTGATATTGTGGAGGTTTATGTTTATGTTGGGATTCATACCGTTTAAATGTTGTTTTAAATTGCGCACCGATAAGGAAGGTCTTGCTGTCAACAGTTGAATAAAATGAAGTATTTATTGCCGACCGATTGTCTCATGCGAGGTCTCATTATGTAAAGCTCATAACTAATGTTGTGCTGGAATATTGTCCAGTCAAATTTAACATTAAATGATCGCGAAAACACGTAATGCACGTTGAATATAACAACAAGTTTAAGTAAACGGTATCAATCCATTATACTAGCCGATTGCAGCATCGAATCAGGATACAGGAAGAAAGTTTTCTGTCCAGGGCTTACTATTAGAAACGAGATTGGAAATAAAGTAAGCACTGGGGACGAGGTTGCCATATTTCGTTCTCTCGTTCCTCGCCTGCAACAAAATGCAGTTTCCACTGCAGCAGCGTTTGTGATAGCGGTTCGTTTTGATAACGCCCTCTTCGGCGGGTGACTCTTCACGTATCTTATTAACAACGACCTCTTGAGCCAAGACTACCATAAGTGTTGTCAAAGATTTCACCGACTGAATGTCTCGAGTAAATGTGTACTAAAGTTAGTCGTATTATTTTGGAAACTCTCAGAAAGCGTTTAAAGTGTGTTTCCTTTAGCCAGGACGAAGTTTGCCAGGCGGCCAGCGAAATATATTTTTTTCCCAAACGAGATCGGACAATATAAAAGAGGGTTCTCTCTCTGCGTTATGCGTTGATGTCCAGGGCTTTATAACAAGGAATAATGGTGTTTAAATCACCGACGATTGGCAGCCGATTTTCGAACTGGTTGGAAGTAGTACTGACTGCTAATCAGTTGATCCGAGTTCGAGTCCCAGTGAGCGTTTTTCACTTCTCATTTTACCTTGTTTTTTTTGTGGCGAACAAGGTACTAGATATCAGTGTTGGAGCAAAGGCTTTGACCCTCAAGGCCAAGGCCAAGGCCAAGGCTTTGACCCTCAAGCCTTGAGGCCAAGGCCAAGGGTTAACCCTCAAGGCCAAGGCCAAGGCCAAGGCCCTGTTTTATTAAATGACCACTGATATAGAACTAGGGCCTAATTATCATAGTCACATGAGTGACACATCTTCACACAAGGGCGGTCTGTCCTTGCTCTATGGGCGGATCCAGTACCATTTTTTTTTGGGGGGGGGGCAAAGAAATGTTGGTCCCCCCCAAAAAAAGTGGGTCAAAAAATTATGGCTTGGGCTTCGGGCCCGCTTAAGGGCCCCGAAAAAAATTTTGGCTGATGTTTTTTTGAGGAAAAGATGGTGGTGTACTCATTGCCTGCCTTTATTACGACGTCACATAAAAAAAAATGGTTTCGTTGTTTTTTTTTTTTTTTGGGGGGGGGGTATGGCCCCTTTTGGCCCCCTGGATCTGCCCTTATCATCACGAATTGCTCGTTACGAAGAACAAAATTTCTTTAATTGCAATCAACATGCTCGCTTAGGCCTACACCGTTTTATGACCGCACTGTATCTATTAAAGTATAAGTTCAGGTCTTCAATATGGTTTAACTAAACAAAATAATGATTTACTTCTATATTGACACATAATTCTCCCAAGTGTAACAAAAGGGGGATCCAAGAAACTGATTTAGGAAATTAGGAAATTTTTATTTGCTGGCCCAACATGGTCAGAAATATCAGCATTATCTATAACAGAAACATGCAAATCTTTAGCACTTATCAGGGAGACATATACAACCAATCAGATCTATTCCATAATTGTATGCAATTAAAGTGATCATCTCATAGCCCCATAAGTGTACGGAATATTTTTGCACCAAATCTACTACAATGGTAACAAAATGTGATGCTACAAAAGTGGAAGTGTGCCCTACACACAAATCTATAGGGTGGTTCCCTCATCCATGGTAATACGATTAAAATGGTAACAGCAAAATTTCGAACAGATTTATCTGGAAAATGCAAAAATCTATGGGCCTTGAAGAGCCTTGACTCAAAATTGCAAGGCCCTGAACCCTCAAGGCCAAGGCCAAAGCCAAGGCTTTTGCCCTCAAGCCAAGGCCAAGGCCCTAAAATCCAGCCTTAAGGTAGCCTTAAGGCCAAGGCCCAGCATCAAGGCACTACATCACTGCTAGATATGCATGCAATGGACCAATCAGAAGATGGGAAACGGATGTCGTTTTGGAAATAATCGCTGGTGGCCAGGGTCTCTTATTTGACATTTTAGTTATTTTCCTCTTACTCTGGTTGTATTATGCATAACCTCTTTGCGTTTGTGAAAATCGAGATCTGTTCCTGAACCACTTTTGTTGTAAGTTCGTTACAAGTAAGAAAGTAAAAGAATTTGACCAGTCTTTGAAGATTCAGATATTCAGCTGTTCCATGGGGCCTGCCCTTTAATGTACACGTTTGGCTGATTATTATTTCCTGTTACATGTAATAAGCATTTGGACTTCAGCGAAGACAATTAATACAGTAGCTACAGTACGAGAAAATAGATCATCATGTTAAATAAACAAGCATTGATACAATTTTGTGCGTTTTATTTACAAGTTATAAAGTGCAAATTACTTGTTAAATCGTGCATGAAAAATTGATTATCAATATTTGTCTTAAAAACATACAATTAAAGAAGACATCCATAATGAATTTTGAAAAAAATAAGGTTATTTTCACGCTTCATTTAGAATTCTTGTCCAATATACATTGTATTCAAAAAATTGGAAACACACTACATAAATAGTTACCTAAACCTATGTTTATCCCTGACCCCTAACAAAACATTGAAAGGGTGAACTTTTTCCTTACGACACAGGAACTACACTGTCGTTAAGCATCCTGTTTTGTGGAGTTTTGGATTCGTAGTTATTTGGGTTAATTTCACCTGGGACCGTTGTTAATCCTATGGTTCTTTTGTGAAAAAAAAAGTAGAATTGAAAATAATGGACATTTTACTGGACATTTCCATTCCGCATATTATTATAACAAAGTCTTGTGTATATACAGTTTGTTAAAGAAAAACAGTTCGTGGTATTTGGTACTACGAAGTGAATTTTCTAAAATAATGCATGAATTCTCCACCTTGGTATTTTGAATTTCTTTACTTCGGAAGGTGCCTTCTTTTGAATCTGATCGACATGACAATCACTGGTGAGATAACCAACACAGAGTATATTGATTTCCAACAAAAACGAGTCACGTGATATACCAGCTCCAATGAAATTTATCAGTAGCCTAAATATAACGTAAGTTATACGAATAAAAGCCATCACTGTGAGTGTTAATGGTTGGTGCAAAAATAACAGACAAACGCATGGATCGTCAAATCGATTATTAACGGGATTGAACATGGCGGCCTCCTTTTTCCACGGCTAGACGCGTAACATACCGGCCGAATGGTAGACTATTCGGCCGTTCAGCGGCTGGGGTGGCCGGAAGTTGTCCGCAATCGGGATGTCAGGAAATGTGCCCGCGGCGTTCTCCCTAAGCGAACGGAAGACGTTGAGCTGGGGAATGAGAACGGGACGTAAAGAAAAGAGGAAGATTGAGAGATTGAGAGATTCACATCATGTAGAGTTACCAAACTGCGTAAAGGTAAAGAATAGACCATTCATGAGATGGGATTTTTTTTTTTGCGTTGGGGTGATGTAAATCAAATTAGGTATTGCCATTTGCCCTTCACCGACGTACAAACACTGCATACTCGGTGTGTCACCTCCCGAGTGAAAGTTTGAAAAAATCCCATCTATAGTGAATAATTAATGCAGTACCCGCTGCTGTGTACATCAGATTCGCACCAGCCAACTGATCCCGTTAGCTAGGTTTTCGAGTGGTAAGACATCTGCACTAGAAAGAAAAAGGTCGTGGGTTCGAGTCCCAGCCGATACATGTTTTTCTAACTTTCACTCGGGAGGTAACACAGTGTTTATACGTCGGTGAAGGGCAAACCCTAATTTGAAGAATTAAGTAACGTGATTGAGAGATCCACATGATGTAGAGTTACCAACTTGCGATGAAACTGAAATTCTGAGTCTGCACTTGAAAATAAGTAAACTTTAAAATACGTTTTAGAACTCTTTTGTGCACATGTTACTGCTGCAGCCATTTCATTTTTTTTCAATTTCTTTTAATTTGTGTAATTATATGTCATCATAAAAACAAAAACAGGCAACAAACAAACACAAAACGAGTAGAAATATAAGAGAGAGAGGGAAAAGAGGTTTCAATAAAACCGGCTCTTTGGTTACAACTAGAGGACGCAAGTCGCAATCATTAAGCAAAATTTCATTGACATAGACGGCAATATATGAGTAATTCTACCTGTCTCTGTGAAATTCTAATCGGCATTTTGAACACCGTCCATGTGACGACCTCGTTACACGTCGGCGTGGTGAGCGACCCCCGGTACCGGAAATATGGCTGCATAATGCTGGTACTTGGAAACAAACTAGCGATCGGGAACGGGACCGCGAGGTTGACGGTGCTGCCTGAGAACAAGGAAGAGAACAGAAATATATGATTTCAAAACAAATCCTTTACTGTACTAAAGAACAAGTAGACCTGCAGTCGTGTATGCTCATGGAAGCCTGCCTCAAAAGAGTGTAGTCTTTATCCAAGACTGGAATTTTTTTTGGATCTCCTATAGTGCTGCCGACGCCTTGCGAGCGCGGTAAAGCCGTCCAGTATGCCACGGGAACATTGTCCAAATCCAGTCTCGAACCAAGACAACGTAAAAGGGCAGCATTCTTTTTAAAAAAAGGTTATGTCGCATTGAATATAACATCTTCGAGAATGCGTTCCCTGTTTAGTGGCACGTCTGGAATTCTGGCGCAGGAATCTTTGCCGTTAAGCCAAGTGTGTCATGCGCTGCCATTGTTTGTCTCCCATCGTCAACTGGAATTTTAAACAGCGAATTGAGAAACTGCTAGTGCTGCGTTTGCGCGAGACAAGTCAGAGGAATGGCACCAGGTTACCTTTTTGGCTTGCTAGTAGGACTATAGGAAGGTGTCCAAAATGGCTCCGTTTCTTTTACTGCAGGATAATAAGTATGCAACAGTTAAGCGATTTTTCTGCTGAATTGAACTTACCGTCGTATGTTGTCCTCGAAAGAGCTGTCAAGAATGGCACAAAGCTCGGATTGTCCGCTGTCTGAACCTAAAAGTAAAACATCATTGGACATAAAACGGTGAGTGACTTTAGTACATGTATTCTAGAGGTGGCAGTTGAAACTATAATTGAGGGCGCCCTTCTACGTTCACCGTCGCTATGGTACAAAGACAGAGGAACGACTCTTTCCCAGTGATGGTAACGAAGGGACGGATCACAAGTGAAGAATTAATTCTTTGACGCATGCACTCACCAGGCGGTCGAGGAAATCAATTCAGGAGAGAGAGACTTACCTCGAGGAAAAATCCTAGAACTGCGAGTCCGTCAACCTTGTACGCAGCCTCGCCAACGGACGCAAACCTCGTGTCGTAGGTCACAAGGTGCATCTGATCGAGGATACGAGGTGGAAACATGGTACGTGTATTATGTAGAATTTCATTTTTGAGAAAGGCGGTCTAGAGATAGGTCACAAGAATGCACGATTTAGGTCCTTGCAACAAAAACAAAAATCGATTAGCTTTCGTAAATCTCGTTGAGTTCGAACATATGAACTCTACATCGGCCTTAATTTGTCCCTTTGCCGCTTAGCAGACAATTTGAATGAAATGCTTTTAAAATTGAAAGTTAGTACCATAGTTGTGCAATACCCCACAGCAGTTTCCGTTCGAACTACCATCAAAAATTGATTCATTTACATATAGCACGAACTGGAAGCCCTATCAATACAGTACGTTGCCAATTTCCTTAGTATATTTTAACATGACATTGCAGAGGCGTAGCAAGGTCACTTTTAATGGGGGGATTAAAAAAAAATGAAAAGGGCACTTGCACATTCGTGGTGAAATTTAGACACGTTTTTTTTCTCCGGACACTTGGCCTCCGTAAAATCAAAATGCGGGCGAGGAGGGTGGGGGGGGGGGGGGGGGGGGGGGGGGAGGGGGAGGGGCGGTACCATCTTTCTGTCGATGGGGGCGCTGTTCAAAACCGACGATTATACCCACTAACGGACAAAGATGCGTTTCAGGGCAATACATGCGTGGAATTAAAAAAAAAGGCACCTGGAATGGCAGATGGCACAACAAAGGGCACCACTTCTTTTTAAAAAAGGGCATTTGTTTAGAAAAAAAGTGCACTTCTTTAAACAAAAAAAAGGGCATTCTTTACACAATATTTTTTTTGGGGGGGGGAAGCGGTGAAAAAGGGCATTTGAATGGAAAAGGGCAGTCTTTACAAAATATTGGGGTGGGGTAAATTCCCCCCTCCCCTCCCCGCTGGCTACGCCTAGCAATGCACTGCTTTTATATTAAGCCACGACAATCACAAGAATACAAAGGTATTCTTTTATATCCTCTTGAAATACACCAATCATTTGGAGAACTCGTGTTGCTTTTGGCAGCCCTATCCGGTCTGTGATTGTGACGTCATAACATCAACTTAAACCACTACACACGGAGTAGCATTGGAACCGGTGTCATCTGATATTTGGACTCTATGAAATACAGCCTCATTGGTTTTATTGCGCATGCCCAAGTGGAGATAATTAGGCCAGTGGCAGGCCACGTGTGAGGGATGGATTCAATTTTATGACAGATCACAATTCACGAAAAACATTCATGTGACATCGGCAACTCTCCTGTACATTCAAATCAAGTAAGATGTGACCAGAAAACAGTCGCTCAGCTAACTACAGCTTAAGTCAGCTGGGTTTCTATAAATCTGACTAGATTTTTTTTTCATTCATAGGTTGTTTTCTTTATACCTCAGCAGGGAATTGTCTTCCATCCACAGTGTGCTCCGAGCCTTGGGTGTTGGTGCTCCCCCAGTGGAAATGGATACCAGCCGCACGGTACTGGCGACCCGGTAGATTGCCCCCACTCAGCATGTAATCGCCAGTCATCTTGATCTGAGCTGCCATGCAGGTAAGTCAGAATATGTTGATATTATTCGCTTGGGTGTTGGATAGAATCAGAATAAAAGGTTTAGTGGCCCATGGCTGGTATTTTTAACAGGGATTGAAGCCCGCACTTCACGCTTGCCAGCATGCAGCTAACATTGTGACATTCAAATTTTGTAAATTCAAAGTTGCCGGTGCCCAATGTCTAAATGCAGTTATATGTACTTCTAGAAGACCAGGGCCCAATTTCATAGAGCTGCTTAAGCAGAAAATTTGCTTAAGCACGAAAAAAACATTGCTTAGTAAAATTAGGTTACCGGCCAAAACTCCATGTGATGTACATTGCTTGTGACTGGTATTTAGCTGTTGTTTACTTAGCATAACAATCGCATGGAGTTTTGGCCGGTAATCTGATTTAATTAAGCAAGACGTTTTTGTGCTTAAGCAAATTTTGTGCTTAAGCAGCTCTTTGAAATTGGCCCCTGCTATTAGTCTGAAAGCGTTGACTTGCATAGTTCAGGTGTACGTTTTAACTTTTCCATGAATATTTTTGTATGTTTCTTTTTTGGGGCAGTCAAAACAAAGTAGTTTCAATGTGATACTATAGGTATAACGTGATAAATGAGCCATAACAGGTATAGACCTAACATAAGTATTTTCTCATTTACTTATGTAATGAATTGTTGACCCCAAAATGGATGGGCTCTTATGCAAAAGATAGTTAAAACAGATAGTTATATTGAGTTGCATACCCGTGCACTAACCCAAACGGAGTTGTTTGTTTCAAATGAAAACAAGAGTACTTCTTTCGATTTTGGCTATCTGTAACCTTCTGAATTAGGGACTTCAGTTTGCGCACAAACTCACACTGCGTGAGCCAAATGAATGCGCTAGGAAAATAGTTATAATTTCGGGAAGAAATACTTTTACTATAAACGTCGGTGGATTTGTTTTTCGTTGAATGTCTCATTCAAAATTGAATATCTTGTATATTTCTACGGAAATGGCATCTTTAAAAGTTCAAACTATTGAACGGTTGTAACTAAAACAGGGCAAGCACCGCGGCTGCATGCAGAAATACCACTGCGAATACTTCTTGCATAGAATGGGGTTGTAATAATAGCTTCCTTTTTTTTACAAATACGCATTACAAAAGAACGCAGTATTACCATGTTTATATACTATGTACATGTGCATGCACATGCATGCACATGCATGCACACGTAACTATGGTAGGCCCAATGTACGCGCATTTATGCGCAACTCAAGCCCGGTTCATACTTCATGCGAAAGCGAATGCGAAGCGAATTTGACGTCATGAAACATTCGCTGCGAAATTCGCCCGAGTTGAAATATGTTCAACTTTTACGAATTCGCAGCGCGAATACTTGCCATGACGTCACAAATTCGCGTTCGCTTTCGCTTTCGCGCCGAGTATGAACTAGTCTGAGTATCACCCGTTATCCACGGAGCCATCTCCTGTCTAACGTCTGATATGTCAAAGCATGCAGATTTATGCAAGCCGCGCGCCAGCCAATCGGAGTCGACTTAACTAAACCGTGACGTCATTTCATCCCAAAATCAGGACTAACGCTGTGATTGGTCAATTCGTATGCATCGTTTTGTAATACAACAACAGCCGGGAGCGCATTCGCGAAACATGATACCGAGCGCTAGCGCCGCGCGCCGTGACATTTTTTTTTAAAAATCCATGTCTATGACGCGCAACGGGTGAATGACCGAAGACCCGATAGACCTATAGAAAGCGCCTGCTGATTGGTGAAAATCTAGGAAGTCAAGAGGCGGGGTCTTGCCTAATTAATCAGCAAATCTGTTCGCGCATAATAGACCACGGCAATCGCTGTGGTCTATTACATAGACTAAGTATGAACCGGGCTTAAGGCCAAAAAAGGTCTCCGGTTTCTGGTATGGAGTTTGCCTAAGAAGTGGTGCGGCGACGCGGCTTTTTTTTTACCGTTTTTTTCTTCAAATGTCGGCTGATGACTGCAAATGGTGCCCGACTAAACTTACTTCAAATATAAGGGAGTCAAGAGAGGCCACATAAATCTTATTCTCGATCGTAACCTCATCTAAAAACACGTTAAAATTGTGCAGCAGCAGGATTCCAGTCAAACCAGTGAGTTTGTCAGTTTTGAGACATCATCTATCATTGAAAAAAAACCCACTTTTTTTATTTTGCCAACGCGCATGGCTACGGCGACGCGCGCGCATTCCAGAAACCGGAGACTTTTTTTGGCCTAACGTATAACGTGGCATGCGATGACACTAATAATTGTCCCGTTCCGGGCATGATGTTGATGGGAGGGCATTCACAAATGGCTTGGGATGGCAGCTGGGGTGGTGGAAGTTGACTATATATAGAATCCGACTAGAGTAAAGTCTATCCGTTTTGTAAGTGTGACATCATCTCAACTTAGCCATGCTTTACTGTACATGGTGTAGCATGGCACCAATGGAACCGGAAGTTAACGCAACTTGAGTGTTTAGCCAATGGGCGCTCGTAATCAGTGGTGCGTGCACGTGTATGACGAAGTCACTTGCGAACCGGATAATCGCTCTTACCACTCAGTCCGCTGTTCTGCACAGTGATCCTAGCCCCTCTGGGCGGGGTCGAGTTGAATCCTGTCAATTCAAACGAGGCCGGGGTCATCTTTTCAGCGGCGCTCGGTACAATGTTGATCGGTGATTGGGCGAGGCCAGAACAGTAAGACGGGAAAATCTTGGGCCAGTAATCGGTGCCTGTAGGGGGGGGGGGCGGACATTAATGGAAAGAAACAGTTTGATTAAAGACTTGGGAATAGTTTAGATTTCCAACGATCAGTCAATGAGAGATTTGGGAGTCATTAGGGCTGTCGACGAAATCGCGTTTGATTTGGTTTGGCTGGATTTAATTCCAAACATCACAATAATATTGTAAAAAAAAATTAAATGAGACAGAATATACAACAAATAGTAATGAATGGTGGATGCTGGCAGAAAACCGAAGCTTGTACTTGGCCAAACCCCCGTGAATAAACAATTAAAGCTTAAATTTAACAACAACGAAAAATACCTAAACTGAAATAAATTTCAACAGGTTATTCTTCCTTTGTTTTTGAGTGGTGTTACGAACAAAATGCAATGAAAGCCAAGGAAGTGCCTCAAAAAAAAATAGAATCTGTTTCCGTATTCAGTTCCAACTTACCGGGCTTTGTTTCAGGGTAGCCCCATGGTACTGTATCTGGAATTGAAACAAAGGTAGACACAGGCTATGTAAACACGATTTACCATACCGCTAAGACTCGATAGGCATACAGCTGGAGTTGAAATGAGTTTCGGTTTAGGTGTTGTATATATAAAAGGGTAAAACAAAGGTATCATAAAACAAAGTTACGATATTATCACAAAGTACTGTACAGGGTGGTGAAAAAAAACCTAAAAAAACCCACACATTTGACAGGAAGTTTAACCTACTTGCTCAACTTATATGAATTTTTTTGGTATAATGTAGTGAAGTATAGCTCTTAAACCACACGTGTTGAAATCTCAATAATAGCGTTACTATGTTAATTTGAATCATACAAGTCACCAAAATCACGTTTGTCCACGTGTTAGTCTAGTGTATAGTGTTTGTTTTGTCTTCAAATCAAAGCTCCGGAGCTCAGTCAAGCGGATGGAATAAAGCCGCCCGTGGATAAACAGGTTTGGCACATGAAATTGTTAAACTACTATAAACAGAGACAAAACATGCATATGCAATCATATTTTCGCACTTATGTTTAAAGGTCAATATTTAATACCATTAAATTGATTTTTTTTTTTAAAATATGCTCAACAAGAAGGTGAAATATGCTGTCGGCAGTGGGTGCCCTTCTTTTTGCACCACCCTACATAACAATAGTGATGAAATCCCACCATCGTAAAATACAATAATGTCAATGTCATACAGGTGATGCGCTGAGAGGAAAAAAACCGTACATGTGGATTTAAGAAAGACTTGGGAAAAAATGAGTTTGAATGTACACATCAATTATTTTGATACTTACGGACAAATGGAATGATAGCAAATAATCCTGAGACGAACAATAGCACATCCATGCTTGCAACGTGTGCCAGACTTCTCCGATCTAGTTGCGCTTAAAAAGTGATGATAATGAAAATCACCCGCCGAGCTCATCGGGTTTTATACGGCGCCTGGCACCCGGACCGGTGCTCCCTAAATATCGAGGGTTGACTTTGGTGCATCACGCGCCCAGAAAGCTGGCGGAAACCTGTCTCGCATGTGGGAGATTTATGACTATAAAAATAGATCCGTCTGTGATTGGCTGCCGCGCCGCAAGTCTCGTTGTGCGCAACTCGAGTTTTATCTGTTAAATATTATAATACCCAATGAGAGTAGTGAGTCATCCTAACCAATTTGCATTAATGAGCGCTTCTGGCAACGAGCCAATGCGATCGTCGAGAGAGACAGGTGTTTATGAATAGTTGTCAGCTGTCCTTGGTGGGTTATTAACATTATATTATAAAGAGGAAGTCAAGGGTGATCCGGCCTATGATGAAGTTGCCTGTGAGAATGAGTCACGTATAAGATTAAATCTAACCCCGTCAGAAGACTTTGGTCAGCAGAAAAGTCTGGAGTTTTCTTCAAAGCGTTTCTTTTCTATAGTCTTGCAGAATCCTGTAATCCAGATCTTATGTTCGAAAATAAGTCACTGACTTAGCTACTTTGGCGAAGATGAGTCTGCAATTATCCCCAATTGAAAGTCAGTTTTGGTTTTTAAAACGTAATATCTTGGAAATAAAGTTCAAGAAGAAATAGTTGGAAAAGATGAACGGTTTTGTGTCAATTTTACAATACATTTGCCGGTATCTGGGTTAAACTTATGCCTATATAGGTAAATAGAAGTTCTATTGCACGGTCACACCATTGGCGGCTCTGACCAATCAGATAACGGGGATTTATTCAGGTGTTGAATAATAATGAGTGTTTCACATTCGCGTAATGGTAAGAATAATTTCATGAGGTGACAGATGGAATGTTTAATTCCACTCGGCTTCGTCTCGTGAAATGGAACATTCCATCTCTCACCTCATGAAACTAGTCTTACCATTGCACCCATAAACATTATGAGAATATCCTTGTGGAGATGGCAAAAGTGCAATGGCATATCTTTTGCCCTTGGGTGCTAAATCAACCTTTAAAAATTCCCTGCTTTCTTACACAATCTCGAATTGGTTTGAGAAGTACAAGAGAAAGCAAATCTAGGACAATAAAATACATCTATGCATGACTTAGTGTCATTCAGCTCGGAGGAACCTGGCGTGAAGATTCGTACACGTTGCGTTCATTTCTTTATACCTAAGTTTCTTCTGAATGTTAGGTTGGGCCATGTATTCATTGGTTTAGGGAGATTTCTGAGTGGCATTGGTTTAGGGAGATTTCGGAGTGGCTAAGATTTCCATATCATACCACTGTTTTCTCACCACACCCTTCCTGATATAACGAAACAATATACAAAAAGTGAAATGACCCTTTGTACTTTTAAATACAGATATTATTAGTCTGGTGCCTTATGTAACTGACAAATGTCCCTGGCGGGCAACCTCGTCCCCAGTGCTTACTTTATTTCCAACCGCGTTTCCAATAGTAAACCCTGGATATGAAACTTTCTTCCTGTATCCTGATTGGATACCGCAATTGGCTAGTAATGGATTTTTATCGTGTACTTGGTGCTATATATTCACAACGTGCAGTACGTGTTTTCGCGATCATTCGTCCACGCCTTCTCGAAAATACTAATTTCCTTTTTAATTTGCTCATAATAATATAAAATATGATACTACATGTTGTCTCGATAAGATCGTAACAGTTTGATTTCAAAAATCGTGTTTTCGTAACTCACGCCGTGCTCGCGCAAATTGACGAATTGACTCTGTTTTTACCCCAGACACCGCATACAAAAACAAACGCTAATGTGTAACGCATATCCAGACACCTGACTGTTCTTTATTTGCATACGTGTGCAAAAATCTTGCACATGCAAATGATCCAATACCAGGGTGAGAGAGCAGGTAGTGATGGGCGCGTACTGCTCGACACCCTGGGTACGAGGTTGCCTGGCGGGTGATACTGTCCATAAATCATGCTAATGCTACTGCCCTTGTTCTATAAGCGGCACCACTTTCTGAAGATAGTTTCAGCTCTTGAGTCATACTCCAGCATTTCCTGTTTACATTACAATTCATTTAAAAAGTATTAATACATTTTAAATTGGAGACACAGTGACGTTGACCCTTTTGCGTGAGACATGACATTGGGTCGCAGCCAGATTATTATGATATAAGCTTTTACAACGGGGTTATTTTCAGAAAAATGTCGTTTTCGGTGTACAATATGCCAGCTCGGTGATGACAGGAAGCAAATCCTTGTCATGCTGCCAGGGATGACGTTAAGGGTCTTAAAAATGGCACAAGTTTTAAGTCGTCATCCTCACGAAACAGAAGAGGCTGTCAGTTTGGCAAGACACAATGTGCCATCTTGCCCGGATGCCGGATTATCTTGTCAGGATAACAAATGAAGTGGTATTAGAAGTTTGGAATTACTTTGGACAACCTATAAACACTGTCAACACGAAACGTATCTGATATCTGTTTCCGATTCCAAGAATGAGCTCGAACGCACGTCAAGATGCAATCGTTTTCACGTAGCGATAAAGTGCTCAGTCGTGTCTGTGCACCAGGCCTAGGCCGGGGAGTTTGTAGTTAAGAAATTGAAGTAATTAAACATCGTGTTCTGAAGTAAATGCAGAATTCCACTTGTATTGGACCACCCTTTTTTGTCATTCTTTATGCCCAACGTACGTTATTCGCGAACTGTAGTTGCAACTTCTTTTTTGGCGAATTAGTTATACAGACTAGATAAGGTTAGTGCATGGCCTCCAGGGGCGGATCCAGGTATTTTTGCCTAGGGGGGGGGGGGGGGGAGTCATGCTTCTAAAAAAAACATGTATGTCCAATTGTATCAGACAGGCGGACATAGGTAATTATTGCTATAATTGTTACATAGGTAATTATTGCTATAATTGTTACATAGGTAATTATTACTATAATTGTATTTTTTTCGTGGGGTTCGCCCCACCCATGGATCCGCGCCTGGCATTGTAGATTATCATACGCTTATCTACTGTGTTTTTACAATGTGAACATAGTCTTCAAATCTGAAAGGTGCAAAAGCAAAGATTTGAGATATAAAAAGTTTTGTTTTTTAAAAGTACTGATTAACAAAGGATCTTCAACGCAGACTGCTATGCATAGTATTTTAACACATGGATAGACCTGCTGAATTTGATTTCCCATTTCGGTAACTGACGTCATCTCCAGGGAATCGTCTCAATCTGAAACGTGAGGCATCATGGACGAACGGCTTACAGTAAACTTAAAGGGAATATACAACATTTGCAAACATAGAAAAATAAAACTACCAAGTTTATACGAAATACCTTACTAGGATGTTGGTAAATGACAGTCTCAAGCATCTTGTAAAATTATGGCACCTGGTGTGAAGTCATTTTCAAGAAAATGGTATTTTTGTAAACATTTCCAACGGTGGTCGGCCGACCAGCGTTGGAAAAAACTAACTATTTTTCAACTACTGCTCCAAATTTACCATTTTCTCAGTCCAAATTTTGTTTGCTATTGGTTACATGTTCATGATGAACGGGTGCAGGCCAGCTAGACTGGTTCCCTTGCACAATTTTCCATCATCTATAAATTGATCCATTTTATCTTTTGTGGAGTCAGGGAACCAGACTACTTGAACATTTTTGTTTTTCTTGGTTTTTCCAACCCTTTCGAACACCAAACTTCAAAAATGTCAGTGTAACAATATTTGATCTATTATACTAACCTCTCAAATAGTTCATTTCTGAAAATTACAGCAAAAGCCAATGATGTACATTCCCTTTAACTATACTAAATATAGAGCAGCTACTGGACCGTCGCCGTCCGGATATGAAATTAATGCCAAGTTATCCGAGGGCCAAGAGGGGATGAGATCACCCGGGCGGCGTCTAGGTAGGTTATATGTACATGTACATGTTGCCTGCATCAGTATTGAAGCTTTCGATTACTCTCTACATCCGGGGAAAAGGGTTTTTTTAAGGAGTGTCTCGCCAAACTCATGGGGTGTCGCATGATAATGTTCAGAATGAACGGGCTCATAAATAACACCGCCAGTTAGTTCGTAAACAGTGAAACCCCTTTTGATCCAAAATATCTTTGATGGCGGATCACAGCTTGGCACTCCAAGTCACTCGATATAACGATTTGAACAAAGTTGCATAATTTCGGGTTCTGACATTAATGTGCATATTACCACCTTTAAAGGGATTAAACATCATTTGCTTTTGCTGTAATTTTCAGAAATGGATGGAATTGGGGGGTTGGAAATATATAGCAAATATAGTTACACTGACTCTTTTGAGGTTTTGGGTTCGAAAATGCTATAAAAACCAAGAAAAATAATCATTTTCCTGTAGTCTGGTTCCTCGACTCCATATAAGAAGAAAAAGAGCAGTTTACATACATTGGGGAATTGTAAGGTCAGGGAACCAGTCTAGCTGGCTTGTACCCGTTCATAGGTGTGTAATCGATTGCAAACAAGTGCGATGGCCAATTGGGGCCAGTATTTGAAAAAGAGCCAGTTTTTTTCCAACGCTGGTCGGCCGACCAGCGTTGGAAATTGATACAAAAATACCACTTTTCTTGAAAATGACAGTATATCAGGTGCCATGATTTTACAGGATGCTTTACACTGTCATTCACTAACAGTCCAGCAAGGTAATTCAAAATGATTTGGTAGTTTTATTTTTTGATGTTTGCAAATGTTGTATTTCCCTTTAAGACTCAACATCGACTTACATCTATAGCATTCAATGATCACCAGTTTCACAACTTAAGATAACAATTTCAACCCTCAATGTTTAATATTCATTTAATCATCAGAACATTTACAAATGTATCATCATTGATAAACATGTCGAACATCAATCTTTAATAAGACCAATCAACTTAAACTTTTTTTTATTGTTTTACGATAAACTCAATAATTTTAAATAAACTCAATAATTTTCAGAAAAAAAATGTGCATATTCAACGGAACACCCTGTCATCATTCATTCATTCATTCATTCACACATACAAACATTTATTTCAATATTGCTGACACAAAATACACAATGAGTCTATTTAAAAATAACATTAATGGGAAACTGAGTAAAGAACAAAATAGAACCAACAAATAATGTAATAATCCACAAAAACTACGACTCATAAACAAATAATATATTATAAAAAAATGTAAATTGGAACATCAACCCCCTCGACGCCCTCGTCACGTCATACTAACCGTATATATATATAAACAAAATTAGCAAAATCGAATGTTGGATATTGCTTTTGTAGATATCAAGAAAGCAGAAAGCTTGCAAAGAGCGCCCTCATTGTTGACAGGTCGTTTTTCCTCCGTGACAGTCACACGCATTGAGACACATTTTACCTTCAGTGTTACTCAGTTCAAATGACATAACCTGTCTTCAGTGAGGGCTCTGAGACAGCTCTCTGTAGGTTTTAGGGCACTGATCTCTACGTAAAATATCTGGATAGCCCATTCGCTGTTTGGAGTGAAGACACGGTCCGCCATATTAAGACTCCAAAAATGATAGATTTGTAAAAAAAAAAAAAAAAAAAAAAATTCTTTCACTCAACGTGTTTTTTTTTATTAAAAAAAATAATAAAAATCAATGGTAGCAAAATATATTTTATATATACATGTATTATGTTTATGAAATAAAAATGGTTCGTATCTGGGTTGTTAGTGTGACATCAGTTCAGTTTGAACCACGCCCACTGGCCGTTGAGTAGCATTGGAACCACTGCAACTTGAGTGTTTGTCCAATGGGCGCTAGTAATCAGTGGTGAGCACGCGTTTATGACGTTTTTACTTATGAACCGGATACTTAAGGGCGGTTGTAGTTAGGGTTTGAACGATGGGAGTGGTTGAGACCGGTTCCCTCCCCACATTCGAATGAAGGAATCGGGAACCGGCGCGTAGCTTTCCTTGTGTGTACATCTCGGAATTACCAACAGGGTTTCTCCTTAACGGAGTGTTGTGGCCTCGTGGTTAAGGGACATTGGATTCGTGGTCTGCGGGTAAAGCTGCAGGTTGTGGGTTCGAGCCCAGCCTTGGGTTATGGTGTGTGTGCCCTTGGGCAAGGCACTTTGTCACTCATTGCTTCTCCCCACCCAGGAGTAAATGGGTACCTGTGAGGGCAGAGATGGTTATTGTGATTGAATTAGCTTCCTTGACAGGCTGCATCGAGCTGTCCCCAGGGAGCCGAGGTTGTCTTTAGAATGTTTTATGGGCCCAATGAGCAGGAGTAATAATAATGTAACGCCTTGTGCATAGCACCAGTCCTGGTTGATACGTGCGCTTTATAATACCCACTATTATAATAACTAGTATACCCTTTGGGAGACACTTTAGCGTCATAAGTTATACCTTAGGGAGACACGTCGAATTAGGGAGACATTTCAATGTCTCCCTAATTCCACACACCCCACCTAGAGGCAACATTTTAGTGTCGAAAATAGGCTAGATCGATTGCTTGTGGTCCAATTAGTAAAAATACCGAAATTCGTAGGGGTAGGATAAGGTAAAACTGGGGTTAGGGGTCATTAAAGTTGGGAAAAAAAATATGTGCACAAGTCTATGGGAATGTCTCCCTAATATTCAATTCGGGCGATTCACAATGCAGTGCGCCACCAAGAGTTTGTCATGGAGAGTTAATTTTTCCCATTGCATTGTAGGAGATGGTCGACAAATTCGCAGCGCGGGACATTTGAAAATGTTACTTTTTACGGTTAGTAGTTTCGTAAGCGTATGATTCGAGTATCTGTTTGCCCTTTTCTGTTCCTTTAATCAATATGGTGGGTTTTTTTTTTTATTAAAGGCAGCAGAATGGTATGCCGCAATCTATAAAGAATTAGCTCAAGTTGTCTACTGACGCTCATTATGGGCCATGTTTTGTCGACCGTAAACTTGAAAAATGGACTCTATATGGCAAACTCTTGGTGGCGCACTGCATTGTGAATCGCCTAAATTATCGGTAATTATTATTAGTAGTAGTATTATGAAGACCAGTGGTTCAGGGGCGTGGTTTACTGCAACGACTGTTGCGTAGACACATCCAGAGGAGCGGGAACGCTGTTACCAGCTGAACGGCGCCCAGGCCCACGAAGGCTGCATCGTAGCTACCAGAGTGATCATAAATCCAACCTGAAATGAATTATACATGAGTGATTGTTTAAATGGGCTTATATATGGACCACGACGTCACATATGTCGTAGGCATGACGTCACGTATCGTATCACGCCGAAAACTTTAGCAGCCCTCAGGCAAAATAAACACCTTTGCATCTTTCTTATGTTATTTTGCCCACATAAAACATGCCATAGTAAAATGCCAACACTTTTGAACCACCCATATTTTCAAGAGATTGACATCACATGTCCTTAACATCCAGATGTATAGGCCTATCTAGTCTTACGGTTGCTACGGCCGATTTGCCACTAATACTTTATTTTGAATGAAACTAGCTCAAATTGCCGTTACACAGACATTGTGATGTTCGTGTGAAAAATCTTTGAACATCAATTTTCTCCCGTTCAGTGAAAACCGTCGACAGATGCTACCAGCCCCCCCCCCCCCCCCCCCTCTTTTTGATTTTACGGAGGCCAAGTATCCGGAGAAAAATTGTGTCTATACATTTGAGCACGGCTGTGCAAGCCCCCTTGCAGGAATATTTAACCCCCCCAATAAAAATGACCTTGCTACGCCCATAGTCACAAGTGACATCAATACACGGAGTTGCCCCCAGTCTCGAGTCAATGCACAGGTGATCGTACCCTTGACCAATTGTGTCAAGCTTTTCCCCATACGAGCTTGTTCCCGCTACTACCTGTACGCGGCCGGCAGCGGGAACAAGCTAGTGGAAAAGCCGACAGCCTGGTCAAGGCTAAGGCGATCGGAGTTCAGTAACAGAAACATTCCTGTTTATCACTGGCGCCCTCTGTTTACTAGGGAAGTGTAGATAGGACATGGTTAAAAATAAAACTAATTCGTACGTACGAATTACTAATTATTTCGTACGTACGATTTAGTAATTCGTACGTACGGTTTAGTAATTCGTACGTACGGTTTAGTAATTCGTACGTACGATTTACTAATTCGTACGTACGGTTTAGTAATTCGTACGTACGAATTACTAATTCGTACGTACGGTTTAGTAATTCGTACGTACGGTTTGGTAATTCGTACGAATTAGATTTATTTTTAACCATGTCCTATCTACACTTCCATAAGCTTACGTGATGGTGCTTCTACATTGTACTTATTATTGCACGGCATTAGTTCTTTAGCTATTTAGACCAATCCAAGATGGCCACTTTTTGTGATTACTGACTGGTGTTGCTTTCCAAAATTTAATACTGATTGTGACGCGCCAAAGCTCGCAAAATAACACAATATATCTCGAGGCATGTACAGAGCTGTGCAAAACACGTTTATTTAATTGGCATGAAAGCGTCCCGGTCGCGGCCATGGAACCGTCACGTACAAAATAGTGCCCAAATTCTTGCACACCATTCCATAGGCAAAGTTTGTATGCATGACAGCTCATGCGTAGCCTAAAGAAAGTGAATTGTTGTAGTTATCGCTTTGTATTAACGCCTATAATACCTCCAACCAGTACGGCAATCTGAGTTAGGGGTGGCCACAATGGGCAGAGGCGTAGCAAGGTCATTTAAAAAAAAAAATTATTTGGAGGGGGGGGGGTGTTTGGGTTGGGTTAAAAAGCACTTGAAAATGGCACTTGCACAGCGTGCTGAAACGTAGACACCTTTTTTTTTCTTCGGACACCGTGCTTAATGCGACCTCTGTAAAATCATCAAACGGACGAGGGGGGGGGGGGCTGTTACCATCGGTCAATGTTCAAAACCGACGATTACGCACAAAAACCGACAATATATGGTGCTTTGCAGGGCGAAAGATCCGCGAAATTCACAAAAAGGCACCCCTCGCCTCACGGCCAATGGCACAAAAAAGGCCATTTTTTTCTAAAGGGCACTTGTTCAGAAAAAAGAACGGCATTCTTTACAAAAAATGTGGGTTAGCGTTGGTGGAAAAAAAAAGCATTTTAATGGAAAAGGGCAGTTTTTACAAATATGGGGAAGAATACCCCCCCCCCCCTGGCTACGCCAATGATGGGCACCTTCTTCTTCTTTTTTCTTCTTTTTTTTTGGAAGCGGGGGCCCAATTTTTCTTTCGTCTATTATAAAAGGTTTCAAGCGGGGTGGATATTAATTGCGCTTTCCATAAAAAAAGGCCAAATGACATCACCACTGGGTGACACTAGTGAGCAAGGACAATCCACACATTCTACAGATCAATCAACATGCAACATACCCCCCCCCCCCGGCCACATTGGAGAAATTGAAATATTGAAATACCGTATATTATTTCTGAATTGCTGGCAAGTACCTGCTCCGACTACAGGGTGCACAGTTTTGTGCACGCTTCTTCATTTTGCGCGCGAAGCCTTTGTAAAGTGTTGGCCACACGTTTGAAGATGCACCGTGCATGACAATTTTGCCGCACGTATACCAAATTGGGCGCGGGGTCCCATTTTTGCAATTGTTGCAAAATGATTTTTGTCCACTCACTCATTTTGGTTGGTAAAAGGACTTCACAGTTCTAGTTCTTCCTTTGTAAAATAAGTTCGGGAGGGTGAACGAAGGAAGTGAGAGATATTTCATATATGAATATATAGTTATGTTCCTACCTGGAACGAATCCTGAGAAAAATCGAAAGAGTCCCGAAATGAAACCCATCCAGCCGAAGGCGTTGGCCATTCTTTCAAATCCAATGAACTCCTTTACCATGACGTCACCAAGGCCAAACACCGTGCCCATACCAGCCATGTACACGCAGGCATTGGCTGACATCATCCAGCCTGACGTCATCCACGGCTCGATGAGAAACGAAGCGGATACCACTACGATGGAAACCAACATAGCGCTGGTACTCGACACTAGCTCTTTGAATACAGCCAGGCTGACCAATAGGCTGGTCGCTAGATAACCCAGCCCAGCTGCCGTCACCATGGTAGCAGCTACGTTATTGGCGATCCCCCTAGAAACAGCGTGGGGAACAAAATAGATGAGCCAAGCTCCTTTGTTGACTCGATTCACCACGAAAATGAAAGTGATAATCCAAAAATTGTAGTCCTTTATCAGTGAAATGCCGAATGATTCCCCCAAGCTCTGACAAAAAGATTTCAGGCAAGACCTGGTACCGCGTTTGTCCTCGTCCATTTGATCGTTGGTTTGGTCAGTCGACTGCTCCAGGGGTGTGTACGTGGTAGTTGAAATTGCACCACTGCCTGTTGGCAAGGGAACGAGAAGGGCGCCGCACACGACAAGATGAAAGCAGATTGAACTCAAGAGCAGCATGGCTCCTCGCCACCCATACGTGTCTATAAACAGCTGCATGAGGGGCGGTTGGGTGACCAGACTGAGGGAGTTACCCGTGTAGGCGATGCCTGACGCCAGGGCAAACATTTTGTTGTCAAAATGCTGGCCGAGAGCAGCACGTGTAAGAACGTTGACGACGCAATATCCTATAGCTGTAGATTTAACAGAAGGAAAAGGAATTGGAAAAGGTTCATGATCCCTGAAAAGATTATGGTGTATGGGCATATTGGATAGGGCTATGCCTATTGGACAGAGTGTGGCCTAGTGGTTAGGGTTTGTGAGTCATAATCAGAGCGTCAGGGGGTTCGAATCCAGCAGCTGGCAATATGTTTGGGCAAGCCACTTCATCCCCACTTGCCTCTCCACCCAGGAGCATAAATGGGTACCGGCATTAGCTGGGGAGTAAACTGCCATGGACTAGTATCATTTCCCATCCAGGGGGGAGTAGAAATATTCACAGTTGTTTCATGCTACTGAAACCGGAGATAAACGCTGGCCTGATGAGCCACATTGTCTCGTGACAGATTCGTGACTGACGTGTACACGAATAATACGGTATAATAACATTAAAAACTAGGAAACATCACTAACCCAACAGTATATTCATTGAGAGTGCTATCTGTACAATACTCGAAGCTTGTGAGGCGATGATGAGTCCAGCTGTTACCATGACACCACCAACCATGACGACCGATCTGGTACCAAGTCTCCTACCAAGGGGTCCTGCTATTGGTGCTAAAGGGAAAAAGAAAAACTTCTTCAAATCCTCTCATAACATTTACAATGACTAGTGCAGTGCCCGTTTAAAAAATGTGCCTCTTCGGAAGGGGCAACTTGCTCAGTGACCGCTACCTGGTATTGGTTGCTTGCGGCGTTTTTGAGCACTGCTCGTGCAAACAATGCACACGATTCAATGATGTTGTTGGTTTCACAGGTTGAACGCACACTCACAGGTTGAACGCACATTTTTAGACAGACAATACTAAGAAAACATGAGGAAGAAAAGTGTGATTTTGTTTATTTACCCATTGTTCATAATTGAATAGCCCCCCCCCCCCGGTGAAGTACCCAATGTTGATAATGGAATAGCCCCAGTGATGGTCAGCTAGATTACTAATTTCCCCAAAGAACATACGAAGCTGCTAAGCAGACAAAAATCGTCACCGACACCACGAACTGACACACGGTGGTCAGCGTTGCAGAAATACAAATCGGAGAAAAAACGCTTTTAAAGGTTTGACACGAATTTACTCAGTAAAATATTCCATTTATCTTAGATGTTTTAGTATCACTCAATGTAAAAATGCTTTCACTACTCAATTAGAAACGTTCTATTGTACAAATCTGCTTAGTTCATTAGCAATTAAAAGATTAAGATGGGTGTCAGTTCGTGGAAACCAAAATTTACGTGCTTTCGGAGAGTGCGCGTATGCAATAGCGTTAGTGAGTGTCAGTTCGTGAAAACCAAAATTGACCAATTTTGGGAGAGTGCGCGCACACACTGCGCATGCGTGCGCGCACTCTCCCAAAACGCGTCAATTTTGGTTTTCACGAACTGACACTCACTAACGCTATTGCATGCGCGCACTCTCCGGAAACACGTACATTTTAGTTTTCACGAACTGACACCCTGTGCAGTGTCACTTCGTGGTGACCAAAAAAACCAGAATTGACAAATTTCTTGAAAATTCATTAGTAAAATTCGCTTATTTTATATGATTTCAGCAATTTTAACCTCGTCATGTTAAACTTCATGATACAAACTGCTAATATGTGCAAAAAAAGAAAATTTGAATTTTTTTTTTTTGTACACATGTGATGCAGAGGGTGTCAGTTCGTGGTGTCGGTGACGAAATATAGTACTCCGCAATTCTTTGCCGAAGCAGAAATCCGCTACCAGTCAGTGGCCGTGTCACGCACAGAGCCCTGTTTGACCTCAGTTTCTTGTCCCGAGGTCACGCACGCATGGCCCAAAAGCCTACGCGAGATATTACGAGACTGTATTCGAGACTAAAGAAAAACACGAGAAAAAATGTTGACTTGGTTTTGATAATTTCTTTTTCAGTGCGATAATTGCACGAAAACAGCAAATTACGAAGTATTTGCTTGAATGTTCCTATCCGTTTGTTTAAGATTTTTCCAACTATTTTCATTTCTGGACAGACGAGTCATTCAGCTCGAGTCCCAGTCCGAGTCCCGAGTCATTCAGGTCGAGTCTGAGTCACAGTCACGATTCACAAAGGTCGACTCCGAGCCACGAGTCACTACTGCTAGGTTCACACATTCTAGAATTAGTTATGAATACAAAAATAACCCAACACATTATGAGATGGAATTTTGCGTCGGGGTGATATAAATCAAATTAGGTTTTGCCCTTCACCGACGTTTAAACACTGTATGCTCAGTGTGTTACCTCCCGAGTGAAAAATCACCCGCGTGGGACTCGAACCCACGACCTCCTGCTTTCTAGTGCAGATGTCTTACAATTCGAGCAACGAGCTAACGGGATCGGTTGGCTGGTTCGAATATGTAGCAGCAGGTACCGCATTAACAGTACTAACATTAACATTATTACGATGTTGTCGTAAAAGTTGGTACCTGGATCCTGCTTTAACTTTTTGTTTTAACGGGGCTTACGGTCGCTGTCGAAGTTAATTGAGTGTGATGGGGAGTAATAACTAACCGTCTCATATTTTCTACTTAACCCCCCCCCCCAGGGGTTTTGCATAGAAATTTCAAGATACCAACTTGTCACTGCCCCGTGCGTGCCTTGGGAAAGGCAAAGGCTAGAGAGTAAACCCTACACGAATCCGCAGTGGAGCCCCTAAGGCGGTCTGGTGCTTGATTCAACACCATTCCGGCAACTCCTACAGCCAAGTTAGTGCTAAATGTGTTGCTCTGCTCAGCAGAACCACAACAGAAGGACCACACCAGCAAGGCCGAGAGGGAGAATTCTGACGATTGGGCAACCAAGGATCTCCATACATTCCCACCCAGGCTTGCGAACTGGAGAGGTCACTTGCTGTTCACAAGCAGTTACGAGCTATAAGCCCAGTCCAATTGGCGTAGGACACGGGCGCTACGGGTTGCCTCCAACGCTGGGAGGTATCATCGTGTTCCACTGGTCAGCTACCGTCCACCTCAAGCTGGGCAGTCCCTGGCTAGTAAGGTGCTGACCCGTCACAGTCCGTCTGCTTCATCGGGTGCTTGCAGCTTAGAGAATTGACTCGACAAGCGGTCTGTAAACACTGCACCACGCAAAAAAGATCAGTAAACTGCCAGTCTTGCGCTTAGCAAGCTGGAACGTCAGGACCATATGTCCTGGCATGTCGGATGACCTTTTCAAGGTCGACAACATCAGAAAGACAACCATCATCGACCATGAACTCACGAGGCTGAACATTGACATAGCTGCAATGCAGGAGACCAGACTCCCCTCAGACGGCATCCTCAGAGAACAAGACTGCACCTTCTTCTGGCAGGGAAGGAAACAGAGGAACCCTGACAGCACGGCGTTGGCTTCGCAGTGAGAAATTCCTTACTCTCTTTAACAGAACCACCAACCAGAGGCACAAAACAGAACGCATCCTCTCTCTTCGCCTCTCCAGCTCCTCGGGCCCAGTGAACATCCTGAGCGTATATACGCTCCAACACAGTGTAGCTCAGCAGATATCAAAGAAAAGTTCTACGAGGATCTGGACTCTGTTATTGGAAGTGTAACAGACTGTCACTGAACACATACCTACTAGGAGACTTCAATGCTCGGGTGGGATCCAACCATGACTCTTGGCCCAACTGCATCGGACACTTTGGCAAAGGGAAACTGAATGAGAATGGACAAAGGCTGCTGGAACTCTGTTCGTACCCCCAACCCCCAACCAAATCCAGACTGGTTTGAGGCTGGGCTCGCAGAGTTGTAACCCGTCATTGATGAAGCTAAGCGAGAAGATCTTATGAACTACGAGAGGAACCCCTCTGCTTGCAGCACTCACAAAGGCAAGGAAGGATGCTCAAGGCTTTGCTAGACGCTGCGCCAATGACTACTGGCTGAACCTCTGTCAGAGCAACTGCGGAAATAAACGCGGCATGTATCAAGGCATAAAAAAGGCCTTTGGACTACTCACACAGCGACGCTTGATATGGCTCGGCCATGTAAGCCGAATGGAAGATGGCCGAATCCCCAAAGACATCATGTATGGACAGCTCACCACAGGTACCAGACCTGTGCGAAGACCCGTCATGCGTTTTAACGATGTCTGCAAACGTTACATGAAAGCCAGTGACATCGACCCAACTAGCTGGGAAGCCGTGGCAGTAGACCGCAGCTAGAGGAGGCATGTCGTTATTAACGACATGAAAGGCAGGCACACAGAGGAGCGAGTTAGAAGAGAGACGAACAGTGGAAGGAGAGAAGAGAGCGCAGACGACAGAGGCCAACATCAGCGCTACCACACAGCCAGACTCGGCTTTACAATGTATGCGGCCCCATGATTGAGCTGTACAGCCACAGCATGCGCTGCAACTGTACAAACAACTGACCTACGGCGCAAAACTCCATTGTCTCTTGAGACAGACGGATGCCAACAAGGTAGACGCATGTATGTACTTGTTAGTGTTCAGTTTTCGGCAATGTATTTTGGACTTTTCCAAATGGTGAATCGAACCTGGTGATTCGGGGCAGGGCCCCCGCCCACTTGCAATGTTGCTGCTGATCGGATTAAAAATAAATACCATGCACATGTAATAAGTAGGATGGTTTCTATTTCAATACGAGGACTACAGGGCATTAAGGGTTGATTTTCAGTTGCAATTCACTTTCGTTTTGCTAGCCTGCGTGCAGCCATGGTATCCATTTTCTCAGGATAATAGGACCCATCATCCGTAATTTTATCTATTCTGCCCTCAGATAGATGGAAGCCCAAAAACCAGGGGGTTGATCCTTGGCTATATTTATACAATTCCACCGTTTTTAAGCCAAATAGTCTCCTTTTTCAAAAGAAAGTTGTGGGGGCACTTCTCATGTATAGCCTTGGTCAAGGCGGGCGTCATTATTCGTCCGTACGCGGTAAACGATCGGCGGCAAAATACAGTGCGAACAGCGACCTAATGCGGCCACTATTTTATGCAAATCAGTCGGACTCGATCGGGTCCAACTGATTTGCATAAAATAGTGGCCGAATGAGGTCGCTGTTCGCGCTGTATTTTTAATGCACTGCATGCATAGCGCGCGAGGATATGCCGCCGATCGTTTACCGCGTACGGACGAATAATGACGATGAGGCTTTAATATCAGCTCGCGTAGAAAATCTCACTGCGCACCATCAAACGCGAATTAATTGCGTCCTCTGTCGTTCTCATGATGATCGCGCCAGTCGGATATCGCTGTTGTAATCGCTGTAATAATGACGTTATCTGCACTTTTTGTGGGTCGGGCCAAACGAGTTTTATTCTTGAATATTTACACCGCGCACACCAACCACAAAACGCAACAAAAAAAAAATACATTTAAACCCTTCTAGCTTTTCATATAAAAATTTGGTTTAGAATATTGGTTTATTCGGGCACAAAAATAACATCCCCCGGCCCCGCCAATAAGCCTTTTCGGAGTTCCAACTGCGCATTCATAACCCATGACAACGCGCATTTTTTGTCTCAAATGACCTTTGACAACATCGCGCCACTGACTTTACAAAAAGGCTGTTTGTGCATTGTGGGTACTGTCAAAGGGCATTAGAGACAAACAATGTGCGTTGTCACAGGTTACGAATGCGCAGTTGGAACTCCGAAAAGGCTTATTGAACTGCTGGCATTGTCCTCCATTACTACCACGTTGTCGTAAAAGTTTCCTTGATCCTGTATTAAGTTAACATATTCTTTAAATGGGGCTTGCGATCGCTGCCGAAGTTAGTTGAGCGTGATGGGCTTATTATATTGGGAGTAATAAATAACCGCCTGATATTTTCTGCACAACCCCCGGTGTATTATTAGGCTTAGCATGGCACTATAAATAGCTTATAGCTCCATGGTCTGAGTATCACCCGTTATCCACGGAGGCAAGTCCTGTACAACGTCTGATATATAGACATGCAGATATATGAAAGCCGCGCGCCAGCCAATCGGAGTCGACTTTACTAAATTGTGACGTCCTTTCATTCCTAAATCAGAGCTAAATGGTTTTATTGGTCAATCGGACACGATATCGCGTAACATGATACAGAGCGCGTGACACATTTTTTTTTAAATCCATTGTCTATGACGCGCACTGGGTGGATGACCGAAGATCCGATATGGAAAGCGCCCGCTGATTGGTCAAAATCTAGGAGGTCAAGAGGCGGGGTCTTGCCTTATAAATTATTAATCAGCAAATCTGTTCACGCATAATAGACCATGACTTTCGCCATGGTCTGTGGGGTTTTGCATAGACATTTTAAGATACCAACTTTTACGACAATGTGTTAGTAATGGTTTACCTGGTCACTAACACACAGACATTAATGTCTAGACGAAATCTTGAGAATGTGTTGTCTCAAAACTGACTTTTGAAATTACACAGCAACGAATTATCTTGAATTGCCCAAACTTAATTTTCATGTTTTATAATTAACCAAAAACTTACACCAAAAACCGAATTTGTAGGCCCAAGGAGTCTTTCTTTCAAAGCCCCCAAAGTGCAACATTTCTATTTTTTTCATGGGTGGCAGTGGGAGTGGGACTCAGTCATATAGAGGTAGTCCAGTATATGAGCACCATTTTTATACCGTTTGTGTAGTTATGGGCCCCTATTTAGTTTTGGTCAAGAGTCAAGAGAGTTTTAATGATTCCAAACTGACTCAGCACCTAAAACTGACATCTCATATTTTTAATATTTGTTTTGAAATTTTGCACGGTATCTTTCGGTAGTAAATACGATTTCCTTACGCATTTTACGGTTAATAATGCCATGCGAATCAACGCAGTTTGCATATTCACTGTTGCTTTGCGGTGATCGCCATCTTTATTTTCGTGTACGTTTTGTCAGTTTGAGCCTCTTCATCGTCATTTTGGCCCGAACTTTCCTCAAAATTAAAAAAAACCTGCTCTCTATTGTTATAGTTGGGATTTAAATTCCCTGTATCTGGGTCAGGCCGGCCGGTGAGGGATTATCAGCCTAATTCTCTGAGGCTGAACCTTCCAAAATACTTACCTTTGTATTAACTTTGCATAAACTTCCAGTGAACAAGTGGAATGTGCTGGCCCACTATACATTGGGTAGACATTCCCATGCCGCGGCCTATGTTAGCCATACCACACGGGCAGGCGGACCGCTGACCACACTGAACAACCAGCTCCTGTATATCTAAGTCAAGCAACCTGGAGTGGACCCTCTTGGGCGTGGCCGTTCTTTCCACGCCTTTGCTCTTCACCTTGCTCAAGATTCAAGCTTCAAGACGGCATGAACTATTAGCACGGGTATGATACCCTATCCGTGTGAGCCCCTCGTCGCCAGTCAAGTCCTGCGGTTTCTTCAGTCAAGTCAGCCAAGCCCCCCTCGTTGGACGTGGACCACAACTCGGAATCCTGAGGTGACAAGACGCCGTTTGTCACGCCGCCCCCTCATCGGTAAACAGAGCAACCCGGCCTCCTACGTTTTCTTCAGTTCACCGGGCATTCATTGATTCACAGTTGCGTAAGAATCGGCCGATACTTAATTTATGATTGTATAATTTGTATTATATTAATTTATTCATGTACTTGATCTCACTGTGATTTGGATTGACTTTGAATAATAATTAAAAGTCATGCACCTTAATTTCTATGAATTGACATCATCGTTTCCCCGCCTTGTTAATTGCTGGTTGTTCAATACATATCCCTTTTGTTTTTGCTCATTATTTATTCTTCCCATTTAATTGACATGTGCTGCCGTGTGTGACGTACTGGGCTTTTAGTTTAGTGTGTCCACACGTAACACTATCCTTGACGCTGCATTTTGGTGGCATTTAAATGTCGCTAATGCGCCCATTAAAATGCCCCGCTGCCACAGGTCCGATGTCGGGATTTGGTCACGTTTTTCATGGCCCCAGGGTGGATTTTGGTAGCTCAAAACATTGTTACCATTGGCGTACTACATGGAAAGGCAACCACTACAGTTCACCCCACTCATGCATTATGTCGGGGCATGATCGGGGATTGTCACTTAAATTTTGCCCGAGGGTGGGTTTTTTGTCACTTCAGTGCTAATCCCCACGTCGTGGGTGTGGCAGCCCGGGGAAGGTTGGGGGAAACAATTGATAGGTGCATAACTAGCATAAATCAGTAGTTTCGTAAGTCCAATAACCTCAGACTTTTGTTGCGAACATGTCTATTACTAGGCAATCGTATTTTTATGGGCTATATAGTAAATGTACATACCCAGGAGATCACTAACGCACTCGACGAGCGCGAAGATCGTTCCCAGAACCCACGTGGCTGAGCTGAACTCGTACTGTATCTCGCCTAACATCATGCCCAGAGATTTCACGATAGTTGAGTTCACGAACAACTGCAAGAACACAGAAACCACCGCCCATACGCCGATAGTAAACGCCTGCATTTTGTTGCCGTAGTCGGAAAGCGATGTATTCCGCAGACGTGAACTCTGGACTAGTCCCACGATTATATACAAAGTACATCCGTGACGCTCAATTGATTCGGTCTGATGGCATTTGTCGAAGGACGACCACACAAAGTAGTGGACTTGTAGTCCTATTCTGACCTTTCGTTATAGTACCCTACGCTTTAATCGATTGCTGTTGTAGTGCCATAGGGACAGAATTGTGCTGTTTGTGATAAAAGCGTGAAAACTTGGCATGTGAGGTCTTCATACCATGACACAAAATTTCAGATAATATGGACTAGCGGGATGCCGCGCTTCGCGCGGCACCCGCTAGATGGGTGGAGTTGACTGTTTCGTAATAATTACTGTATACAATGAAATCTCGATAATTTAAACTCCAATAACTCCAAACAACTGTTAAGTCAAATAAAGAATCAGACCCTCTGCTGCACGCGAGCCTATTTGGACTCGCCATTAGTCTCGCCTAAGTTGTATTTGCGTTTAGCAACGTGCGCGCACATAACATTTCCTGCGGAGATTGTGCGAGGGTCCAGGACATATTGTCAATATAGGGGAAGGGGCTAGCTAGGGTGAAGGGTGCTAGTTGGAACGCCCAATTTCCGTAAAACCCGTCAACCGTGTCACCAATATTTCCGGGGATGGGGAGAAATATTTCCAGGGATGGGGAGAAATGGTTTTTGTTATAGAGGGGAGATGGTGACATTGAAATTGTTGATATTGTGGGGGTTTATGTTTGTGCTGGGATTCATACCGTTTAAATGTTGTTTTAAATTGCGCGCCAATTAGGAAGGTCTTGCTGTCAACAGTTGAATGAAATTAAGTATTTATTGCCGACCGATTGTCTCATGCGATGTCTCATTATATAAAGCTCATAAATAATGTTGTGCTAGAATATTGTCCAGTCAATTTGAACATTGATTTGTCAAGGTGCCAAACCATTAAAGACGTATACACCAACTGTACAAATAGGTAATTTAGATGAAACGCGGTTTGATCTTGGCCTATACAACGTCGTATCCATCGTTCTCACTACAGAGGAGAGAAGGGGGCAGCCAGTGGGGGTGGGGGTTGAATATTGTGTGGGCGTCGCCAGGATTTTTTTCTAGAGGGGGCAAAACATATTTTTGCCCAAAAAATGCCTGTTTTTCTCAACACATTCTCGATTTATCAGTTTCAGAGGGGGGCAGGGACATTTTGCCCCCCCCCCAACCCATTAAATTCACACCACTATGACTTCACGCCCCCCCTTTTTTTTTTTTGCTTTTATGGAGTGCCCCCCCCCCCCCTTCGCGACGCCCATGCCTATTTATGTTACACCTGTGAATGGTCACTTATATTTCCGGGGAAGTGGGCAACAATTTATATTTGTTATGGTGAAGGGGGTGTTTCTTATTAAAGTAGAAGTTAATGTCATTATAGCAGTTGGTGTTTTTATTATGGTGATGGGGTTGTACAGCAAAGTATTGTAACACGTTTATTTGCAGAAGAGAGTAAAACTAAAAGAAAGGACATATTGGAGCACTTCATAATTATGTCAAGCACCACATGTTAAATGTATTTATTATAAAACTGTGAAAATGAAATCAGGTATACACGAATTTTTTTTAGTAATACTGATTTGCATTCATTACTGTACAGGGTAGTACTTCGACAAAACTCAGGGGATATAATTGTAGTCAGTTTTCGGAGCAATTTTCGCAAGGGACGTCGGTCCAGGCTTGTTAACCATAGGCACAAACATTCCATGAAAGACTTTCAAGGAAGACGGCCAAAGGTTATTATGCAAATGCAGTTTTTTGTGTTAAAAGCTGTCATCATAAATAATGACAGTGGCATTGTAAGTTACAGGACAACATTTTTTTTAATGAGTGTTGGTGAAAACTCATGAGAAATGGAGGGGTATGCGAGTATGAATATTTCGTTGTGAAATTTTAAGAGTGATTATGTAATTTGGTAATCAAAGACATTGTTTTGTTATCAAATTAAGTTTGCCAGGATCGACACAGTCTGCTTGGCCAGTAATTATCGGGTAAGCATTCCATCATTATTCCTGGGTACAACTAAGCCAAGGATATAATTTAAAAAAAAGGATGGACATAAAACAGCAGAAAAGAGTGATTATTTTCATGACTTCTAAAAATAAAATTATGGCTAGAAGGAAAATGTGTTTTGAATGGGTAAAGAGAAAAAGCAGGAATCTTGCAGTTGAACTGGAAAGAATAGGTGTGTCACGTCTTCGTCTTGAGTTGAGATTCTTGCTTTGGGAACTGGTTGAAGCATGCACTGGAGCATGCTTGGAGCATGGTTGGAGCTGGTCATGTGATGTGGGTGTCATCGGGAGTCCTGTGTAAAGGAGTTAAAAAGAAAAGAATAACGACTAAGGTGAAGAAAACTTGTAAAACAAATACATCGGCTAACAATAGCTACAAATAAATTAGACAGGTGTTGCAATACCCCATTTATGCGGAATGCACTACTGAAGTACTAACCAAACATGCCAAACAACGAAACATGTCTTATATGTTGTATTTTTGTGACCCCCCCCCTCCCCCCCCCCCCCCCCCCCCAGCATATGATTTTATCTCAGCAGAACAGCAGAGACACTGAACAGTCATCAATGTATTAGTTTCCTCTTTATCCTGCTTGGGTTCATGTCTGTTGTCGAGTCATTTGATTTTCTGCCAGAGTGTATTCTCTAAGATCCACTATTCTAACTGTGTTGGTTTCAGGTTTTAGTCTTCGCCTGTATTTTTTGGTTTTTGGCCTGAGGTTTGAACTTGATCACGTCTTTAATTGTGATTTGAGGGTTTCTTTATTAAGTTGGTTATTGGTCTTTGATTTGCAGTAAATTAATTTTGTTTTGCCTATGAGTATGAAAGTCATTTCTTTAAAGGAAGTTTTGAGTATGATTTGCCGTGTTCTAAGATTACCACAAAGATTTAATTTGCATCATTTGTATGGAATGAATGTACATTTCATGGCCTATATACAAATGCAGCATTTTTTTTCTAGCTAGTAGTAGGCCTATAGGCCTAGGCCTAAAACAAACTAAAGCAAAATCCAAAAACAAACTACAAACAAAGCCCAATTGTGAAATCAAAAGTTGGCAAAGTTCTACAAACATGTTCGGGTACATGTTCCAAGTGAGGCCTGTATTTACGGAGGTCATGCAGTAAATTGGCCACATTAAGCCTAGCTAAGTAAACCCACGGCCAAACTCTCGATGTCCGAGGCCTCCCCCCGTACGTACATTCGTACAACCCTCCCCGTACAACCCTCCCCGTTCTACCACCAGACTACGCCATCATTGGACACTCACAAACTCACACTTTTCACAAACAACAATGCTTCTCATTGCCAGTGGCGTTCGAAAGAATACCACTTTTCACAAACAACAATATATATCATAAATGAGACTTACCGTTCAAAGAGAAAACTGGAGCAAGGAACAGATACATCAACCATGTCAACAACGCTGTGCTGAAGAAATGTGGGGCAAGTTGCATGCGCTGCATGCTCATAACGAACGTATACGTGGCATGTCAATTATCCGGCCCATACGCTGCATGCTCTCATAACGAACGTACGTGCCCATACGTACGGAAGCTTGAATTGCCTTCCGAGATACCGCGTTACCGCGATAATTTATCACAGAAATCCGGAAATCAAAGATAATTCCTTCCGCGATACCGCGTTACTGCGATAATTTATCACAGAAATCCAGAAATCAGAGATAATTCCTTCCGTGATACCGCGTTACTGTGATAATTTATCACAGAAATCCAGAAATCAGAGATACCTTTTCCTCGATACCGCGTTACTGTGATAATTTATCACAGAAATCCAGAAATCAAAGATAAATCATTCAACGATACCGCATTACTGTGATAATTTATCACAGAAATCCAGAAATCAGAGATACGTATTCCTCGATACCGCGTTACCGTGATAATTTATCACAGAAATCCAGAAATCAAAGATACCTATTCCGCGATACCGCGTTACCGCGATAATTTATCACAGAAATCCTGAATTCAGAGATAATTCCTTCCGCGATACCGCGTTACTGCGATAATTTATCACAGAAATCCAGAAATCAGAGATAATTCCTCCCGCGATACCGCGTTACTGTGATAATTTATCACAGAAATCCGGAATTCAAAGATAATTCCTTCCTTGATACTGCGTTACCGCGATAATCATCACAGAAATCCGGAATTCAAAGACAAATCGGTAACGAGGAAGGAATTATCTTTGAAGTCCGGATTTCTGTGCTAAATTATCGCAGTAACACGGTATCGCGGACGGAATTATCTCTGATTTCTGGATTTCTGTGATAAATTATCGCAGTAACGCGGTATCGCGGAAGGAATTATCTCTGAATTCAGGATTTCTGTGATAAATTATCGCAGTAACACGGTATCGCGGAAGGAATCATCTCTGAATTCAGGATTTCTGTGATAAATTATCATGGTAACGCGGTATCGCGGAATAGGTATCTTTGATTTCTGGATTTCTGTGATAAATTATCACAGTAACGCGGTATCGAGGAAAAGGTATCTCTGATTTCTGGATTTCTGTGATAAATTATCACAGTAACGCGGTATCGCGGAAGAAATTATCTCTGATTTCTGGATTTCTGTGATAAATTATCACAGTAACGCGGTATCGTTGAATGATTTATCTTTGATTTCACGATTTCTGTGATAAATTATCGCAGTAACGCGGTATCGCGGAAGGAATTATCTCTGATTTCCTGATTTCTGCGATAAATTATCGCGGTAACGCGGTATCTCGGAAGGCAATTCAAGCTTCCGTACATACGCAAGATGGCCGGCGCGGCCGGCTCAATGGGGAAGGGAATTATGGGAAAATAGGGTGGAAATAGCCGGGCCCCGTTCCGCATCCCCCGCAGCCAACGGGCGCGATGGGGACGGGAGACCGGTCGGGAAAATGGCAGCGCCCTCGAACTA